CTTGTTTTTCTAATTCCTCTCCTGAACTCTTTAATGTTGGTACTGTAAATCACAGAGAAGAAAACAAACAAACAAACAAACTCCAAACAAAACCCCAAAACAAACCAAAAAAAAAAAAAAAAATACACACAAAGAATTTGTCCCATTGACTGATCAGTGATCCAAAAGAGAGACTAAGGATTTAAAATGAAGGTAACCTTTCTCACTCAGCTTTCCTCCTCTACCAACTACTTCTCACAGAACTTCTTGTTGCCTTTTCACTGACCTCTGTGTTACTATTGCATGCAGATCTTGCAGGACAGTAATTACTATCCAGTAAAATGTGTTCTTGCGTGAAGCCTCGCATTAACACGAGGGTGCGCATGCTTGAGGTGAAACACAGCTGTTATTGCATGGCAAAAAGGCAATGATTTCCAGTTATTGCTTACAAATACCAAACCAAAGCAGAGGAAGCAATTTACTTGGGGAATCACTTCCATTATCAATGAATCATCTCTCATATTATTTGAGAAAGGCAGACAAGCCAAGTCCCAGTGCACTAGCACATTAGAGAGAACTTGTAATAAAGATGCGTACTTTTCCACTGAAGAACTCCATGAACCTCTTTGCAGAGCAGATTAACAAATTATTGAAAATATCATAGCTGATGAATTACCACTCTTTCATGATATATTAAGTGATTAAACCCCTCAAATTACATCTAGCCTAGTTCCTGATTCATTTTCTAAATGAAATTTAAAATTTTACATTATTTCAATCTGGAAAAGCAAGAATGGTAAATGTGACCAGAAATAAGGTTCTGTGCGTTGCATATCAAATGCAAATCCTACTGGAACACTGAAATAGTTGGTGTGGAAGTGATGTTTGCTCTTTCCCACATAACAAGGCACAGAGTTACTCCTGTTGGTTAAGGTGGGGCAAGGTTTAAACCGGATCCATTCATTAAAGAAAATGGCTACGAATTACAGCCAAATAGATTTCCTATGCAGCTTTGTATCCTTTATTTTCCAGGGAGCATAATTTGTTTGGTTTGTCCGCAGAGATGCGTGAATAATAAATCACGAGCAACTATATAGATTGCTGTCTACTCAGCCATGGGTAAATGTGCTGGCCTAATGACAAAGTGGCCAGCCTGAAATTCAGCAGCAACAAGGAACGAAAAATATCATAACTAAAAAGCAGGGTTTTGCTTACTTTCATTGACTGCAAAGTCATTGCAAGTGGAATTAAGTAACTGAGGAATCATAATTATGGCAAGAAAAGCATTAGTACACATGCCCAATTCCAATGCTTTGCAAGTTTGGCTTGTTCAGTTCCCTGGCATTCTGCTATAACACTATATGCTATATCACCCTCTGTGCTTTGTTGCTAAAAACTGTATTTATTTGTGTAGAACAGTAGTTGTAATAGTAGACTTAATTATTTACTTTGCATTGTGTGATCTGAAGTTATGCAAAATAGGGAGATAAATGTGACTGTAGCTTTTGCATTGTTTTGCTCCAAATGACTGATGTTTTATACAGCACATGCTAAGGTTAGCTATCATCCATGAGATATTACTGCTTTTTGCTTTCTATTTGTGTAAATGGCCAGGGTCTCTCCAGTTAATTTGTACAGGGATATTTTTAGGCATTCATTATCAGACAAGAGTCTCTACAAGCTTCAAATGGATACTTCTAATCTGAAAAATGATATTCTTTGCCTTTTATCTTTTTCCTCACATCTGGCTACCTATTTTTTCCCTTACGCTAGAAACAACGTGTGTATCATCAGTTACCTGAACTTAAAATACAGACTTACAATATAGACTAATTAAGCATGAAAACAAAAGAAAACCAAATTAATAATAATAATAATAATAATAAAACCCCAGCCACACTGTAGTTAAACTGGCTTCAGCTAATTGTAATGCTGAAACTTGGGACTTTTGATGTATTAACTCACACTCTCAGAGACATAGGTGAACATTTTTTGTTAAAATGAGTTCTAACTTGGCTCCTGGCCTAGCCAGGGAGATCCTAACTATTGATGAAGTCTCCCTAGATTGCTCGTTAGACATGATTTTATTTTTCCATTGTTAAAGCAGGTGTGTTTTGTTTTCTCTCTCTTCCTCCTGAAGACCCCCTCTTGCACTGTTATAGCAGTTTAGATAGTGAACGTGTGCTCAGATTACCAGCGTTGAAGGTAAGGTGGGATCTTAAAGATGATTCATAACTTAAAGCAAACTTCTGAAATACTCTTGAAATAGTGAGGATTTGGGCAAAGCTGGGAGCAGGCTGGAGGCGAGTATGACCTATTCCTCATTTTGTCTAGCTCACATCCTCACTTTGAAGGATGGAAGCTCACCTCCAGAAGTGAGCTGGAGCAGCTGCATGCTCTAGTTGCCTACTCCCTCCTTCCCAAGTAAATCCAGGTGACAATAATTTATGCCAAGTCAGCATGATTTTCATCCCTTCATCCTGTTCACCCCAGCTGCAAATTTCCAACCTGATTGCGAGTTAACAGCCTGACTGATTTGAAATAAACAAGTGAGGAAGATTTCCCCAGCAGCTGCAGGTGTTCTGCATGTAAAAAACGTACCCTATTAAATATAGCAGTTTATTTAATATATGACTGTTATTTTCTCTTAGATTATCTCTTTGGTAAAATAATTGTCTTGAGGAATTAAAAATAAAACACATGGAAAAAAGAGGACTTTCTTAAGAAAGAGGAAATTAATTTACCTATCGTAAGATTCTTCTAGGAGAGAGGCTAGAAAAAGGAAACTTTTAATTAGATTCTCAGTTGTGGCCTGGACAAACTGCTTCTGTCCTTCTGTTTGAAAAACTTTCAGTTTTCATCAATAAAGTGCTTTGAGATTGGTGAAAAATGTTCAGTGAGGCCTAGGTATCTTTATTTTAGTAATTATAGGTTACATCATTATTGTCATATTTCAGAAATCTCTAGGGCCTCAGTTGTCAGAGAGCCCTAGGGGTCTGTGCATCACGTACTGATGAAGGAAAATAGCAGTTGGTTACTGACTCCCTGAAAAATTCTAAAATGTTCTGCCTTCATTATTTTTACTCCAGATGTTAAGTTGCTTAGTGTATTAATGAGGAAAAAAGAGTGATTTAGTGGACAGAGTTTATAGAATTTTTACTGCATCTTTGAGTGCAGTGTTTGAATAATGAGGATGGTATTGCATTTATTTAAACTGGTTTAGTTCTATATGTTGACACTTGTACATTGGTTTATGTCAGTTTTCAATCTATTCAGCTTGCACCTGTTAAATTGCAGAAAGTAAAAGCCTCCTACAAACACTAAATATGGATAAGAGAAAATAACCCGTGAATATGCTCTGTTAACGGCCTCTGCGTGTTCTGAGATCGGCTGTCAGGTTTTTTCTCCTAATCAGCAATTTGAGAATTGTACAGCAAGTTAGGAGAAGTGCTTTCAATAATCATAACTGAGCATGAAACAATTATGGAGATGAGGTGCCTCTAAATCCCCCTGGATTCAGAAAGAATGGGAGAAAACAAACCAATTTCCTGAAGACTTATTCCAATCAATCAGTGTAATCTCTGCTAAATCTTGCTCCTATTCCCCTATGACGGCTTCCCCAGGCAGCACATCTGCAGAGGCGCGTGGTTACTACGCTGAGCTGGAGCCCCGCGCACCCTCAGCTGCGACTTTTGCTCCATCTCGCTCAATGTGACTGCTTCCAAATGCAGAAAGCTAATAATGAGCAGGTTGCCATAAGTTTTTAAAGAAACTACAGGAAGTATCTTAATGCAACTGTCAGTCTGTGCACGCACTGTAGGCGCTTGGGCTCTCTGATAGCCTGGAGCTTAAAAGCACTGTGCTTTGCCAAGGAAGAGGCGGCTATCTTCAATCTGGCATCTGAACATGACAAAGAGATCTATCAAACAGAATTAGGAGCACAGATCCTTCCTGTTCTGTTTAGCTTTGTAATTCAATCTGAGTCAAACCAGAGGCCTGGCCTGAGGAGAAGCACTCCTTCAAATCTAATGAAGCGCTCCTCCGATTTACCATCATGCAAATATTAATATGTAAACTTCCTATGAGTATAAAAGATATAAGGCGTATTGTACATGACAGAAGAGGTTTATCAAGGTGCGCTAACTCTGAGTTGCAGCTGTTCTGTTCTTCTTAACACTCCTTCTTCTTCTTAGCACTTCCACAACTCTTTTTTTCTAGCTTTTCAAACCACTCTGGAAATTTTGACTGATTGTCCACCCCTTGTCTAGGAATATTTCTGAAAATGGATTTAAAGCCTTCATTGGTATTATTATTTTTGTCATTATTGTTTAGTTTATATTTTTGCTTCTGTGGAGTCTGTACTCTCCTAAATGTGACCTGTGATAAGACTAATCAGATACTCTGCTTTTCTTTCTTATGTACTCAGTTTGGTAAGAACCTGAAAGCACAATAGCAACATGTATGTACACCACCTCTGACAGACAGAGATCCAAGAGAATGTCTGTATAAAGAAGAGCTTGGAATTCCTATCTTACCCTAATGCATACACTTCTTCTGGGGGAATATTTTCTTTTTCTTTTTTTTTTTTTTTTTCCCAAAGGTTTATGTACTGGTATAATTGAGAATGTATTTATGCTACATATTCACTTGAGAGTTTGGAGATAACACTGTGTTGGTACAGAGCAGTAAAAAAGATTCCCCTAAAATAGCTGTGATAAAAATCATTGGCCAAGGATATCTTCATCTGACTTTAATTTTTCATTCTACCTTTTCATCCACTCCTGTTTCTTTTCATATCTGACATCTTGATTGCAAGTTTGCTGGCAGAAACTGACTTTGTCATTTATCTGTCTAGCATATGTCACAAAAGGACTCTAACCCCTGCTACTGTGCAAGGGGCTACTGTCATAAACATTAAAATCCTTCTAAAGAAAACTTTTCAGTCCTTATTTTTTTGAGAAGTGTTGATGCTAAAAGTGGCAGTGTGTAAAAGGAAGTATGTTTCTCTTCTTACATTTCAGGATCTGAAACCTGGTGAAAGATCAACTTCAGGAAGAGAAGCCTGGACATGAATGACTTCCTCCTGTGGACACATTTGAAAGGTAAAAATTTCCATTGTGGTTTTTGGATTACTCTCGCTTTATTTGCTAATGACTCTTAAAAACTAAGATACAGAAGGTCATCACAGATACCAGCATGTTCCTAAATATCTTGCAGGAAGGTACCAGAAATGATGAAAAACAGTTTTGTAAATGTATGTTTGGCTGAAATTTCAGGTAGGTGTAGTGTTCATAATTTAGTGCGTTCCTATGACAATCACTGTTTTACTGTTTGTTTTCCCCTGAACTTTAATATCATCTGAAAGCCCTAAAAGAATCCCTTCAAGTTGAGTTAATATCCATTTTTTGGAACATTTTACTCTGAGATTGGAACTTAGATTTTGTTTAAAAAAAGCAAAGTTCAGGCTGTACTGACTGGGCCACGTTTCCATCTCACTGTTTCCAAAATCCTTGGGAAATATGGAAAACTCAGTTTTCATTTGGAATAGAACTAGATGGAGGAAAATAGCACAAGCAGTACAGTGTGTTAGATTAATATAATTGATTTTTTTTTCAGTTCACCTGTGACTGTCCAGCAAATTTACTTTTTCTGTAACCATGACCTATTAAAAGTAGGCACAAATAAGTCAGTGTTAGTTGATCCCTACTGAGGAACCCAGATAGCAATGGACTATTCCCTGTCATTTGCAATGGGATTCTCCTTTTTTTAATGTGCAAGTTGCTTTGCTAGGTAATTTTCCAGTGTTTAAGGAGCTGGCTGGAAGGCTGCAGCAGGAGCAGCACAGTGTTCTGGCAGCCGGATGACTCCAACATAGGCAACAGGCCATTAAAGGCCAACTGCCATGCAGAAGTGACCTGATTGCTCTCCTGAATGGCAACAGCAGGCTAGTTTTCTGTAGATTACTGTTGCTCTGATATGGTGTACAAACCACTCCACATGCCTTCACATCACTGTCTTCCTTATGTTCTGCTCAAGCTGTTGTAGGCAAGTACTAAGTACCTGGGTTTTTTTTCTGTTCACGCCTGCACTGTCTTTTGGCTTGAATCTTTTCCTCCAGTCTACTTGCTACTGTTTCTATCTGTCTCTTGGAAACGGAGCAAAAGATAGTGTCTAGAAAGAAAACGGTTTAAACTTTTTTTTCCCTTAAACTTCTTGGAGATTGCTTTTGTACTCTGAAATAAATGTTAGGATAAGGCCCAGAGCTATAGTACTCGGCTACAAATCTTATCTTTTTTTAGTGGAGATACAAACATGTTTGTAGATATGTGTCTGTATGTATATGTGTATATATGTGTCTGTACACATAGGCATATGTGTGCATATATATTCAGAATACGTTTGTCTCAGATATAAAAGGCAACAGGAGCTGTGGTTGCACTGGAACTATGTTCTATACTCTCAAAACACTGCGCAAGGAGTCAGAAGCTTGTTTTCTTTTGTTTGCTTGAATGAGTTAGATCTCTGAACCATTTCGCATGCTCTAGTGTTTCTATCAAGAAATGTCTCTCCCTGTGTTTCTACATACGGCTGTCATGTACATAGGCAACCCAGAGACATGCATGCTATCAGTGTACTCTTAGCATGCCCATATTTTAAAAGAAATTATAATTGGTAGTGATGCACCCCATAGCACAGTAGCATGCTGTGTGGTTTAGAGTTGGACAGATCCTTGCATCTCGTCTAGGAGTGTTTTTGACATAACTTTCTTCTTTGTAGGAGCAGAAGACTTTTCTGCTGGCTCTAACATTCCCTTGTGGTTGCAGTTGAAGCCAACAACTGCAATAATCTCAGATTACAAGAATGAAGAACCAATTTGAAGCCCACAGGTTTTTAGATAGTACTTGCTGATGAGCTGTTCTGCTCCTTTATCCTCATGAGAAGGATAGACATAGACAAGAAAGAAACGTAACATAGTGGAGTAAGAGTACTAATGGTTATGAGAAGCTGAAGAACAGAGAGGCTTTTCTCTGTCAGTAGATAAACTGATATAATCACAAAAAGAAATCATTTACACTCTTCTCTTTGCCCACGTGAGGTGCAAACAGAGCCTGAGTTTCAATTATCACCTATAACTGAAATGTATCAGCAGAGGTCTGTTTTATGGTTCAGGGTATGCAGCTTCCACAACAGATGCTAATAAAGACTCTTCTGAAAAGACTAGACTCGTTTTTAGTAGAGAGATTTATGAAAACTGATGGCTGCATATGTGGTACTTTTCCACGTGGCCAATACTACAAACAGATGGATCACAAGGTAGAGTTTTATATTTGATTGTTTTTGGTAGCCCTCTCCATCTCTTGACAAACAGACTGGAAAAAAAGAAAAAGACTGAAATTCTTTTGTTTCCATCTTTGTGTGGTGGTATTTTGGTCTTCAAGTATCAGGCTGATGTTCTCTTAACGTTTCACATCTTCAAACTCTGCTCATTGAGTCTGGGGCTTTCTGAGGACACTGGTACTTTGGGATATATTGTAGTATCTCAAAGCAGTGAACTACATGAGTCGTTTCTGTGCGTCACTTCAGAACTAGCCAGAATGTGTGGTAGTAACTACTGGGTGTTAGTACCACTGGATAGTAATTACCAGTGGATGGCAGTAAGTTGAAAATTTAGTTGGAACCTCGTGGTGCAACAAAAATGAAACCTAACTCTTAGCCCTAGATTGTTTTGTTTGATATAGGCTTTTTGGTGAATTAAATGCTGTATGCAGGACACTGTGGTTTGGAAGTATCCCTGTAGAAACCAGAACATCTGGGTTCTATTTGTGGCTGGCTCTGCCACTACCTATTGTGATTTTAGCCAACTAATGTTGGATTTTTCTGGTGTATGTGAATTGTGACAGGAATGTCTCTAACTGGGTGTTCTTGAACTGCCTCAAGCAATGAGAGTCTAATCTTGTTTGATATCAGTCTTAAGACATAAATTGCTCCTATAAAATTACTTTAAGAACATTGTTAAATTAAAGAATAATGTCGAATTAAAAATTCAACAGTAGAACAGAGAATCCTAATCTCTGACAGAGCATGCTTAGGAACTGAAAACAGTGCATCAGGTAAATTGTTCTCTTAGGCTCATACAACGTGCTTAAGCCCAGCACTTGTATTAACATGTTCAACACCATAAAACAGCTATTTCCTAGGGAAAAGAATGCCTTTTTTTCCCTACTCCCATGACCATGGGGTAGGACATGTCTGCCCACTACATGAATATGATTTCTATGCATAGAAACGGGTCACTCATCCTTACTGACAGTGAAGACTTTGGTACTTTTAGTTTAATGCTTGCATGAAAACTTTTTCTTTTTTCCCCCCCCTCTTTTCAAAGACTTCTAAATTGGGAAGATTTGGAAGATTTTTCTTATGTGCAAACATAGAACATAGACCCATTTCTACTAAAGCTCAATTTTCTGTAGAATAAGGGATCACAATTTTTAGAAAGGTTACTAGATTCCTATAAAACATGGACAAAACATTATGTTTCTCAGCAAAGTAATGTTATCACTCCTGGAAGTGATAAACTTTCAAGAAAAGTTGTTGGAGACAGACATAGGTATGTAATATGCATCCCAGGTGGCAAAGTTGCAAAAAGCTTGGAACTGAGGTTGTATGATAGGATGTATTGAGCAACCTTAATATTAGATGGTGCTATCAATCCTGCCTATAAATAATCCATGTTGTCAGGAAACTAATGGATATTCTGCATTCAACATTCCTATAAGAGTCAAGAATAAGTGGTTCACCAGATTTTCATTATTGATGTGTCTGCAGCTTTGTTTAAATGTTATGCCTGCTTTTGGGACTGGGGGAGGCTATGGGGATCCTTGCACCGCTGGTGCTTTGTGGTATCCTCATTGCACTGCTGGAACAACTGAAATCCTGTGAATGCTTTCAGTAAAGCATTAGAGAACACAGCTTAGAGAACAGATGTAATCAGAATATTTTAGTGCTTTTGTGAAATAAAGGATCTCTATGAAAGAGAAAGAAATGATGTTTACTTCAACATTCATTTAAAAAAAAAAAGTATATTTAGATTTCCTAATTAAAATCAATCTAAAAAAAAAAATTAGAGTTTCTACCACTTGCTGGTAGAGGGGGCTGTGCATCCATGGTTAAAAGAACGTCCCCCTGTCAAGAAACCCAGCAAGGGAACTGAAAAGTCATTCCCACAGGGAATGCAGTGCAGAGGGCAAGGAAGTGAGACACACACGAATGTACTGAGGGACCAACTTATAAAAGTGCTTTAGTGAGTTTGATTAGAATAATGGATGCTTGACCATGGACAGCATTGCATACTAACGGAGTGCAACCATGTATAAAATTTGATTTATTGTAAGAAGATAAACAGGAGGTATACCAAGAAATTTACTCTGTGATACTGATCTTTCTTAAGGCAGTTACTTGTAACCTTTGTTAGACTGATTTGATTTTTCAGGTCCATTGTTGAAGAATGCTGATAAGAGCAATTTGAAAAGCCAGATTCTTAATTTTCTGCTTGGACTCCCAGAGGAGTGAAAGGTACAACAATGAGAAGTTTGTGAGAACTTTTGCTACCTAAACAAAGAAATGCCATGGAAAGCGAAAATGTTAGTATCTTTTATATCTTTATGCTACTTTGGAAATACAGAAAAGAAGTGAATACAGGCTTTCAAAGATTTGAAGTAAATGCACAATAAGATACCCAGATAATGGAAGAATAGAGCTGAAACTTGCCATGTAGAGCTCCAATTCAGCCAAAACTATTTGTTCCTAACTTCAGGTTTGTGTGTATTCTTATATGAATCCAGTATTGTTGTGGACTTACCTATCTGTGCATGCATGTCTCAAGTTATTTCAGACTGGATCTAAGACATGAAATACAAACATCTGCTCTTGCAGACCATTTTGTTAGGAGGTAGATTGGTCAAGGAGACTTTCAATGAGTTTCTGAAGATTTTTGTGGGTCACTGCCCTGAAGATAGCATCTTGGCTGTGCCTGTCCACCATAGTGCTCTATGGGTGCTAGATGCCCAGGTGTTTTCCTTGCTCATGTTACTACCCCTGCTGC